ATGGCCCAAACTCTACCTTTTCCAGCTTTGGGGCCTTCAAGGCAAGAGAGGAATTATTTGTCTATTAACTGTGTACTTGTGATATAAACAAATACTGGAAAGTTTACACAGCCGGATAAGATATTGAACAGCCTCTTATGTTTACTCAAGAAGCTTCCAAAGTGATATGTCTTATTCCATTCAAAGAGCAACTAACAAAGTATCTTTTGACGAGCACACAAGAAAAGGACAAACAAAGCTACTCCACCCTAACACCATATATAAAATGTGTGTGCATGTGTGTGTTTTTTTTTTTTTTTTTTTTTTTTTGGGGGGGGGGGGGTTAGTAAGAGGACACCCAAATTAGTCAAGTTGATAAATTTCTCCTATCAAAAATAACAATAAGCATATAGAATGCACAACCAAAATGCCAAATATTAATGTACCTTAACTCTAAATTCATTATATACATAAAACAAAGCACTATAGACATAAGTTTCATTTGCAAAAAGAAAAAAAAATACTAAATGCCTATGTACTTTGCATACACCACCAACACTCTTGAGATATATTGTGCATATCCACAACTACAAATAAGGCCCAAGATTGGGAACAAACCATCTGGATGGTAGTACTTCGCCAAACGTCTATAAGCTAGCTTTATTTGCTCTTCATTTGCATCCCTTTCCAACTCTGTGTATAAAGAATTGCATCAGATACAGCAAATACTCATCATATCCCATGAAATGAAAACAAGATGCAAAAGTTTTAAACATGTCTTTCTCCACCCAAAAGGATAAGAGGTTGGTGGTGAGCGATAACACTTCTCCATAGAACATCATAAACAAGCATCCTTGAATGCAATATTTAAAATCAATTTTGAGGTAGCAAATATGACGTTAAGGCTGAATCTTTAGATAATGCACACATTATTGATAAAGCCTAATATTCCAATATGTAACAGATGAGAAGATTTCTTCCAGAAATACCCATGTCGCAATTTTACAATGTACATTTTCTTTATTAGTAATTCCTTGAACTAGTTTTACGATTCTACAATTTGTTTGCATGTGGACAACATTTTGAGCTTCCTTACATGACATGATAAGACAAAGCCAGACAGAATCATAAATTCCATGAGATACTGCTGCTAAACGTCGCCCAACAAACAAATGATATGTAAAACAATACCCAATACAATTGCTCATTGTGAATTTTTGATCTTACTTTATAATATGTCTAAGCATCTATTTAATATATTGTAACCTTTTAGCATTTCCTGCACAAATAATACACCCAGAAAGCGTAGCACATCAGTGGTGTGGGAAAGGTGGAAACATGCAATTCACTGAGAGGCATTCATGATACATTACAACTCAATAAAAAATAAATCAATTTCTTTAATATCTGACCCACATAAAATGAAAGATTATGTACAAACAATAACCAGAACTATTTAGCACACAACAAGGAATAAAACTAGCTATTGTAACGCCAAAAACTCAACCAAAGGAATAACCGAACAACAAAGTATGCAAAAATCCTTTGAAAGTTTAATTGTCTTTCAAAAATCTAAACATCTTAGTAATCCAAAAGGATTTAGAAGTGAGTCTTCAACAATAATTTGGAAATTATGCCCACCACTTTTTTTTCCCCCTTTTTAAATTAGAAATATCCTAGGCGCGAAAAAGAAACCTTTTCCAAAAGAATCATAAAAATACAATTCATGGGTTGGTAATTAAAGTGTTCCAAAAAAGGAAAAGTAGAATTTACCGAGGGTTTCATAGGGAGATTTCTCTTCGGTCCAGTTCGAAGCCTTGACCAAAGTCCTTCTCTGATGATTTGATCCAACGCCCAAAGGCTCGATCTTGGGAAGTACTTCTGAGGAATTGGGCCAGCGAGAGAAAACTGAGGTCGAAGATAATCGAGGTTTCGAATTAGAATTAGGGTTTCGAATTGAAACCCTAATCACCGATCGAGATCGAACTATGTCTCTGCAACAAACTGTGAATGAAAAAAAGAGTGTGTGTGGTTTACATATTGCTCGATAATTGCTCATTTTTATCTTCTGTTTTTTTTTTCTTCACTTTCCTTTTCTGTTATCGAGCCCAATTCGAATGAAGAAACTGAAAATGAATATCTGTTGAATCTCACAGAATCTCTGCTTTTTTCTTTCTTCCTCCAATTTTTTTTTTTTTTTTTCATTTCTTTTCTTTAATTTTGTGGATGGTTTGGCTCCAAACTTCGTTGACAGTTAGGGTACGACGTTTTGACGGTTGTACCTACCTTTTGTCACATAATTTACGAAACTGGAATTATGAAAAGTCAGGCCTGGAGAGTATGAAAAACAGAAGATAGTAGACCTTTGTATTTAGTTTTTTAAAATTTGAAAATAAAAAGTCATAATTTTAGAAAACATTAATGACATGTTTTTGTCAATTTTAAGACATTGTTTCAAAAAAAAAAAAATTAAAAACACATAATGTAACCTATTGTTCACTTAAAAGACATCATTTAAAAGGAATTTTTTTCCCTCTCATTTATGATTTCCCTCTACTTTAGTAAGTCCTCCATTCGATTACTTCAAAATCACCTGTCTCGCTTGAAGCTCTGATCCTTCGAGTGACACAAGTTAATGAGAAGAGATTCGATTTACATCTAATAAACTCTTAAAGAATGTTCTTTTTATTTATTTTGTATTTTCTCGTCGAATAATTTAGCATATTTTCTTGAAGTTGACTTTCTCCTTAGGCCCTATGCAAACCAGAAATTTCGGATTTATGTTGTTGGCTTTGTTTTATTGTTCTTCACAGTGAGAAGAAGAATGACATCTTTGCTGCACATTCAATTTTTGAAATTAATTTTTTTTTAAGTTGATATGTATCCATGGGCATTCAACACTTATCCTCTAACCTTGGGTTTTATTTTTTTTTTTTTTGTAAATTTTGTAAGTTAATTTCTAGCACTAAGTAATGCAGTATTGAGAGTTATGTGAGCAAATCTTATTCATCCGCATGTTGTATAACACAAATTGAGAAAAGAAAAACTATGGTAACACATCACACTCCTGCCCCTCACCCTAGTGTTCTTTTTCAAAAGATTTTTATTAAAGAGTCAATTCAAATTATATTCTATATTTTTATTATTTTTTGAATCACTGTCCAGACATGTTGTACAATTATTTGTATTTTAAAATTATTTCAAAATCATATAACTAAATAAAGTCCGAGAGACAAAAAAATCAAAATACCCTTTTCTAAAACTCGTCTGAAAAACATATTTTTGAATATTGTGTTTTGAGAACATATCCAAACAAGCCCTGATATTCTTTTCGCTTCTCTATTTTCTCTTTCTTTTTTTATAAAACTATCAAATAATTTAAATGCAAATAACTGATTTGAAAAATAAATAAATTATCTATTTCTTGTGTACACCTTTCATTTAGGGTATGCCTTTTAGAGGCAAAGGTTCAAACTTTTCAACATTGTTGATAGAGTAAGAAAATAATGAAGTCAATGTAAATAGTGGCGGTGGGCATCCACCCATGTGGTTTTCAACATCTCTCTGATTTTCTCTAAAGTTCCTTTTTTGGACAATTTTTTTACATTAAGGAGTTGTTTCCTTTAGGAGGAATGGAGGATTACTAAGCCTTCTCTTTCTTCCCGCCTCTATGCATGAAAAGTTGGTATGAACGTGTTTTTTGTATAAATGGTCTTTTGGATATCGATTTAAGATACATTTATTTTCCTTGATATGACTTGGCCCCTTCTTTGAGTGAGAGAGTGTCTTGCAATTAATCTCAAAAGTCTCATTGCCGTCGTAAGATATGTTTGAATGTAGCAATGCCAACCAGTGAGATTCTACTAACACTTAGTTATTACAAATAAAAAATTAAAATCATAAAATTAACACTAGGACTTTGGAGGTGAGTGAAACTAATTCTTTTGCCACGTGGCTTTGAAAGAAGGCATACCATTGTCACTGCTCTATACAATGTACATCCAAGGAGTTTTATGCACCCCTACATAGGCAAGTAGATAGAGCTATCGAGTGAAGTCTGCTTAAAACCAGGGTGATTACGGGTAACTCATAAGTCATGCTAATATCTACCACTTTGTTCTGGATCAAGATCATTTTCAGTATGTTTATTCTTGATTTATCATGATGATAGATCATTCAATATATATTTAAATAGAATCTAGTGTATATAAATAGATTTGCACCAATATACGATGAACGATTATCATTGCATAAAACTCGGAATGTGCATTGAAAAAATAATCCAAATTCTCTTATTATCCTTCCCAATATCTTAGGCATAAGCCGCATAACACAAGCCTGTGTTGGTGAACTTCTCAGATTGAGGGACTATGTTTCAGTGGTTTCCACAACACCAATGGTCTGCCATAGGAATGAAAGACCAACAAGAAAAATTCCAAGTGCACAAAACTAATGGACATAGTTGCCAATACTTATGCAGATTCAGGCTAAAAACTGAATCAAGACACTACATAATGACCTACAGGGAAAAAAAACACACTACATAATGGAAAGCTACAAAGTAATACTCTAGTTTCACCATACTCTAAAGCTTACAACACTCCTGTATCTCCAGCCATACTCTATAGCCATAAGTTCACTTTTCAGCATTCAACAGCAATTTGATGGCAGTAAATTCTTCTGATCACAAAATGTACACAGGAAAATTGAGGAGAACAGGCTGCAAAAATTGGGCAAAACATCATTTCCGATTTTGTTACTGGATTTATTACAATCATTTCGCTTTTCTGAATTTATTCGGGCAAATGAAAACTTCAGCTTAGTGTGATCTAGAGTGGCAGGCGCCGGGAAAGAGCACCGACTCTCAAATGTGACAAGTGCGTAGAAGGTTTATATACTAGTTTGAGATGTGTTAATTTATCGATCTAGGACATATTCCTTATGTGACAAGATATTATACAACCTGCTTCAAATTTCAACTTGATAAATATATTCCTAAAATTACACATAGCATTATGACTTATATATACACTGGAAAAAATAAAAGCAGTTAATTGTACTCCATAAAAGCAAAAGCTAAAATTACATATTCCCTTTGCAGCTCAGGCATGATTGATGGCACGTATGATGACCTAGATATGATGGTTTATGGACCAAAGTATACTAAGCAGGATCACAAGGACGAGCAGCCCAAAGTGAACTGAGAGCACGAAGACGTTGGAAGTAGTCTCCCAGTGCAACCAGGCCTCGGGCTGCTTGATGAGTTGTTAAGATGCGAGACATTTGCTGCAGAGTTTGCCGGCGAAGGTGATCTGCCTGTTTATAAATAAAGTCACTCAACAGTCCAACACAAGGGGGAAATTATTTCAAAAGGCAAGGTGTACATAGTAGTTGAACTTAAATGGCTAACACAATTACTTAATGTTCCAGAAAGAATATGTTTTGACAAGGATATTCAGCTCTATATTCATAACATCTTTTGCTTGAAGGGTTAAAAACTAAAGGAGAATTTACTTGTGCTCGTGGGCAGAGAGAGAATTGTTCTCTTTGTAAAATATTGTTTCTTTTTTTCCCTTTTCTTTTCTTGGATAATGTCAATGTACACATTTTGTATGTTGTGTTCCCCATGAAGGTCTTAACTTTTGTTATTGGCAGTCCAGGGCCCAGAGGCTGGACTTTTGTTAATAAATCGAACATAGAAACCATATCTATCAGGCTTTGCCTCTAGCATCACCTACTCATCATACAACACATATGAGCAAAACCAAGAAACTTGCAAGTGTTCCAAAACCCCTTTTATCAAACAATCAAGCAGCGCCACTACATGGATGGTACAACAAATGAAAGCCAGTAACTCAGTTTCATAAATTTCTTTAACCCACCAAGTTTTTATTTGGCAGTGTTGATAATTAACTACAAAAATCAATAAGGTGCATAATTGGAGAACTCTAGGAATTAAAGGACCAGGAGAATTTTCCACCTTAAAAGTTAAACCGTGTTTAAAAAATCAAACACTGTCACAGGACAGTGCTCTAAATGAAGAGGAGATGGTTGCTCTCTGACTGTTCGCAAACCAATTGCAGTCCTTTGTGGTCTGTTATCTGCTTCTAATTTAAAACTACAATGCCCTGATGACTTAGGTTTTAGAAAAGTCAATTGCAGGTGTCAACTATATGACAGCATGAGTTGTTCAAATTACCTCAATAGTCCTTCCCTCATATTCATTCTCCCAGAAACTAAGATATTAATACCACGAAGTCAATGGAAATCAGAGTGATAATATGCATGGAAAAGTACCAGATGATTAAAAAGCGATGTATTACCTGGTTCACAAAGCCCTCCAGTGCTTCCAGATTCTCCATTACTGAAGCCATCTGAGAACCGTAATTTACTGCACCTACAATATTAGTTGCAATGCTCTGGGCTAGAGTCTGCTGGAGTTTATCCATTCCTTGCGAGAGAGCATCCTCAGCTTGTTGACATGAGTCTCGCAGGGTGCGGACATGCATAATTTGTTGATCAGACAAGTGCTCAAGTTGTGGCACAAGAATCTGTGAAAACCAAACTCCATAAACAATTTCATAATTCCTGACTGGATGATTCATGATGTATATGTACAGATCATAACGGAAAAAACTTGATGAGATGAAAATCAAAAGTGTGAGACCTAACTGAAGTGACTTATTTAACTAAATAAAGTGATCAACTTTAGAACCGCAGACTGGAAGTTGAACCATATAAGTACTACAGCACCATGCTCCTAAACATGCCCACACCACTAGTCTTTGCCTAAGTTAGTGATCTTTCTTTGGGCTGAAGATGAAGTAATATAGTGAAATATTTGAAAGAAAGTAGACATTTCATTTTTCTTTACAAACTATGAGTATTGAGGAGTCATATTCATATATGACCTTCGAATAAAACAAACATTTCTTTCTTCTTTACAAACTGTGAGTATTGAAGAGTTTCATTCATATTTGACCTATTTAAATCCTGTTATATACTAACGGTGATTCTTAAGCTTTCAGTTGAACTGAACTAAGCATTACGTTTAGAATCTCTGATGGGCGCAATCCTCCAATCCAGAGGAGAAAGCGCTCCACTGATGTTCTCCACACACCAGACATCAGATAGAAGACATCGGCCTTTGCAGCATGTGCTTTCATGCGGAAGAGATCATTATAGTGGTTTAAGCCACCCTCCACTAGCATACGGAGCTCTATATCACTTATATGACCCTGCAACACATTTCTAAGTTCACAGCTCTTCTTCTGTTGCTCTTCAATCCAGTGTCCATATTCCATCTCAAATGCAGCAATGCCTGCAGATACAAAATAGGACAATTATCACCAACAGATAAGATGCTAACACAATAATCCTCTCCAAAACAAAATGCATGACTTCAATCTATATTGGCAAACACGTAATGCTGGGCAATAAAATGGCATATTCCACTTGCTTTCTTTTAGCTGTACCAAAAATAAAACAAAGAGTTCAGAAACACATCAAATTTTTTTCTAAGACCCGAAGATCTGAAAATATATCAGGTTATTGAAATGAATCTAGTGAGTGGGCAAAAATCAGCAACAAACACTTGAGGCACTTACAGTTTCCCTTTTTAATCAGGTGTACTGTCTTACAAGTTTTGCCAAACATATTTCCATATTCACTGAACAGTCATCCTCTTGAGACAGGGTGATATAGGAAGAGTCAAATACATCCAACGAACAAAGGGTATTCCTTACTTGTATTCAAATATCCTAGGTTGGCATTTCAAAAACCAGTGGAGAACAAGGTTCACAAATGGTATACTGATCACATGAACTCCAACTTAAAGAACAAAAACAAAGCTGTCAAATAATACTCTTGAAAAAACAGTTCATAAGCATAAGTAGACAGCGATTGTAAAAGAAAATGAAAGTAATCCAAAATTTGTCTTCGCAAAAGCATCAGCCAAAAGAGGTTACAGAATGAATTTCGTTAATTTAGAACACCAGATACCAAGAGGGTAAATAGATGAAAGAGCTAAATAACAGTGGCTGCCAGCACCAATCACAAACCTGGATTTATAGTTCCTGGAAATCCTGAATTACCGGTACCTAATGCACCACCAATGTAGACACCCTGCAAGTATTCACAATCTGAAACGTAAGATGCTGAACAGAAAAAGTGCTTGGTCAATAAAAAATGCGTAATACTAGAAAGAAAAGATCTGGAAAAGGCAATCGTCCCCCACCTGCTGTTTAGTTCTCTCAAGTTCCTGTTCCAATTGTGCCAACTTCAAACGGCTTGTTTCTAATTGCTGAACATAGGCCTATTAGGCAATATTAAAAACGATTAAGTTGACTGGTCTCCGCATATAGTCCATCACTAGAAAATTTCATGGCATGCATTTTCATACCTTTTTCCGCAAACGACTTTTGCGGGCAGCTTCACGATTTTGTGCAAGACGTCTTTGTACCTGTAAAATGTGCATAGTTTTTACACGTCATCAAATGATACAGAAGGAATTGCAGGTATTTAACACCTCTAATTCTGACCAAGTTGGCAGGATAAATTAACATTCATTGTGTACACATTGGGGTTGCGTCGGTGGGAATGTTCATAAAAAGACACACACTCATATATGACAGAGAAATGTGGGTTTTTGTCATCACCTTATCTGAAGTACTTTTTGTTGCTTGATTAATTCCCGTAGATTCCATCAATTCTGGAGAAGCGTATTCTGACTGAAAATCGCAATTAATGATATCAGTTACAGCAGGAATAGCAGTCAAAAATCATAACCCAAATCTCAACAAATAGAAGTAGCACACATGATGCATCTTCACCTTGTTTTTTAGCATTGCATCCACTTGTGAAATTACAGAAACATCTGTGTTTGGGCTAATATCACCTTTGAATGCGTCCTCCCACATGCTTATCTGGTGTAGTGAATCATATATACCCATCTGTCTCGAGGGGGCAAATTGAGTTGCTGGAGAAGTCATTCTATATTTGCCTGATAGAAGAGTGAAATAAATTACTCAGTGGCTGATTTCTTGGATGCCATACTAAAATCCGAAGAAAAGTAAAACATACTTATGTCAAGAAAGTTGAATGTTTAATTGGGTGACAAATTAGAACATCAACCAAGAGGTGTGAAACTGGTACCCTAATTTCCTTCAATTTACAGATCAGAAAAACAAAACAAAAAAAATTCCTCGAAATTGAATGCCTTTTTTGCCTAATAATCATAACAACTCAATAATAAAATGAGGTGTAACAAAACAAAAAAGAATACTAGAATTTCATAACTTGAAAATTCCAAAGAACTGGCATGTCTTTCCCTTTCAGCTCTATCTTACTACAAATTCATGGTTTATTACACCATATCAATGAGAATGCTGCAATGACCATGTCTTGTAATGCACATTTGATGTCCCTCCCCCCCTCTCAGAGTGTGGTCAGCGGGCGCAGAGCTTGGTCACTGGAAGTCCTGGCAGTGGAGTTGGTGGCAATTCCCACAGATGGTTTATACGTCAAATAACTCTTCCAATCAGTGGGTATTGTCAAAGAACTAGACTAACTTTTCTAATCAGTGGCGATTGTTTCAAAGAACTAGACTAATTCTTCTAATCAGCGATTTCAATCCCCGACTACTTATCAACAGTCCATCTCAGTATGAAACATCAGCAAAAGCAACAGGGTCACAAGCTTGATCAACCATGACTGCATAAAAGCTTCTAGAGAATATTCAAAAGGAAGACCAAGCCCAGACGCTTCCATTCCAACTTCGGAAAAGGTGGCGAAAAAAAGGACTTCGTTACAGAAGAAAATTCTATAGACACACACATGTGAGGACTTTGCAAAATCAACTTCTCAGTCTGTGCCATGTATAAACAAGTCTCACACACACATTTATGCAAACACACAAATCACAAACTTAATACTTCCAAGTAAAGTAACAATAAGAGCAATAACAGAGTTGAATTTGGTGAGCAACTAACAAGAAAAAAATAGCAAAGAACATTAAATTTAAAATTGTAGAGAAACAACTAAGAGACTAACCAGTTCATGGAAGTGCCAGAAAGAGTTTCACCTCTGCAATACCCAGAATTCAAAACTGTCTGATAGTACTTCTCAATTAAGACACAAAATCTCTTGGTTTAGAAATAGAAGAACATGATAGTTTCAGACGATAACAAGAACTCAAGAACCATCTATGGCCCGATGGCAAGCAAGAATAAAAAGGCAAACCCAATTCGGTTTAAGAAAGACACTACAAGAAATGACAAATGAAAAACCAATTTAAAAAACAATAAAAAAGTGATTGCTTTTGGAAAATGCTACAGTCGAGCTTTTAATATGGTCTTATGTTAATCCCATTCGTTAATAATGTACATGACATGGACTATTAAAATGCCCACCAACTCAATTCACTCCACCTTAACCTACCCACCCCTTAACTTACACCACCACTACCACCGACTATATTTCACTACCACCGACTATATTTCTGGTGGTGTTGAGGTTTTCGCTGCCGAACTGAGCTCCAATTGAATCCATATATTAATACCCATTCGATCCGAACTCTCATGGGTCGCAACTTAGAAGTCAACCTTCATGAGGAAAGTTGTACACTTGTTCATTTTTTTCCTCATCGTACAAGCTTGCAAGTGTTCAACGGTTAAAAAACAGCTTACTATAAAACAACTCATACATTCGAAGAACTGCAAGTCGATTTGTTATAGTTATTTATTGGAAGTGGTGCAAAGGGATGGAATAGGTAAAGAATACAAAGCAATTCTATTTGGATTTAATGTATTAACTTAATTTGTTGAATTAATTATTTATAACTATTAGGTTGACGGTAGACTCTGATATTTATTAGAATTTATTACTAATTCAATGATTATAATGAATTAAATCTGTAAATTATATCAACAATTTAAGTTTAAATAATATTATTAAAAAAATCTGATAGAATAATGCAAAAAATAAGACAGAAATAAAAAATACTTGTTGCAAAATTAGGATGGGTTGTAAGAGAGTTGAAATATTTAAGACTTGAACTAAGATTTTTAATATTGGGGTTAGATATTGGCAAATGAAATTTCAACGTGATTTTAAAATAGGTTAATATTCAGGTTGTGATCTCATAGTTTCAAATTTTAATTTGGATGATTGAATTCGTCTTCAAATCAAATTTTAAAATAGAAATGGATTATCCAAGAATAAATTTCGATTATAACTCAAAGTAAACTCGAATTTAGTTAAAGTTGTTTACCCAGAGTACTGTCAAGTCAAATTAAAGTGATTTCACTCGGACGTGTTTGGCTTGTGTTTGAAAACTTAAATATACACATTGCAAATTGAAGAGATTGTATCAAATTCCAATGCAAATTGAACTCAATTTATAATTTTATAATTGATTTGAGCTTGAATTAACCTATATTTGTTCAATGCTTTAATTCACACTCTATTCATACATTATTGTAAATTCTCAATGAATAGCCACCACTTATCAATATGTGAGAAATTTTCGAAGAAAACCAACTTGCATATATGACAAGTGAGTATTGTGCACACCATGGAACACTGCAAATGATTTGTACCATTGGCAATGCATTTTTGCTTGATAAATGAGAACATGGTTGATTTTTACCTGACAAGGTGCGTAAGTGCATAACTGAAACAAACGACAGTGCGTGATAACTGGTGGTGTCTGCCTTTATTTCGTAAGCAATTGGAGACCTTAGTCAAAAGCTAGTTTTGGCAATTTTTTAGAGGTCTCACTTAATCTATATTTATATCAATATCTAGTATCTTAGCATAAAAATTTTTAATTCACTATTTTACTCATATAAACAAGGGTGGCCCAAAGCAAATTGAGGCCTAAAACAAAAATTTTACATGAGACCCCATTTAATATTTTAAGAGGATAATAATTTTTTTAACTATTATTAGACGTTTTATAGAGAGTTGCGGTATAATTTATTTTTAATATTTTAGTGCTTTTGGGATTGGGCGTGATTGAATAAAAAGTTGGTACAATTATGAAGTCAGAATATTATAGATGAATAAATTGAATGAAATTTTAAAGAGATAACAAGAGAGTTAGAGAAAAGGAGAAAAAACCGGTGCTAGACAATGAGAGTTTGAGGCTGAGAAAAAGTTGGAATTAGATGGTGAGAGTAGAGGAAAAAAATAGTGAAAAAGAATTTGAAAGAGATTGCTATTTTTAAAGTTAAAAATCGTTACTTTTTGATTTTTTTAGAAGGTTTTGTTATATTTTAGGATTTTATATATATAAGGCATTATATTGACCTGTGAAAAATATTGTTATATTTAGAACTTTCTAAAAAGTTTTAGATAGATTTTTGAAATATATTGAGCCTTATATGGACATGATTCATCATCTTTGGAGGATTTTTAGGAAGTTTAGCATTTTAGAATTATCTATTATTTTATTTCCATGTAATTATCATGCATTATATTTTTTTTAATTCCTTAATTATTATAATTAGATTGTATCGAGAGGTAAAAAACATACGTCCTCACTAATTATGTGTAATTTAATTTTTAATCAATAAAATTCCCTTGTACCATCGAAGTTTGCCAAAAAAAAAAAAAACTTGGTCTATTCAAAAGGATCTCAAAATATAACGTTGACCTAATAACTGGAAATTAAATTAAGACTCTAAGAGACTATTTTAATGGTTAGGCCTGTTATGTCTCCTCTCATTCAATGATCAAAATATTTGTGCATCTCATAACAATTGTAGTCTCTGTTCGTGCCTTATTATCAAGTCTTCGCCTATGGAACCGATTAAATGAGACAAATTAATTAATGAATGACGCATAAGGAATAAAGGTAATATGTGTTACTCCACATTTTATGCATTTTTTAAATTTGTCAAAAATAATGTGCAGACCATTACAACGGATATTGTCATAGTAAAAATGTTCAATACTATAATGTGGTGTCGCATAATTTTTATTTTTAATAATTTTGGTATTTAATATATAATAAACATTAGATATGTATTATTTCATAATCATACTATATGAGTGCAATTGTTCAATGGTAAAATCCATAGGAATTAAAAATATACATAGATCATCATAGTCGTAAGTACTTATTTTTTAGCAAACAGATACGCACATTATTTGTCTTTCTCGTCTCTTGCTTGAACCACACTTTTCGGAACATAATATATTATTTCATTACTATTTTTATGTTCTTCTTATTTATTTTGTATGTTCTTCATGAAAATTATGGTATTAGATTATCGACTATCGATATATATTCATAATTTTTTGTTATCTTGTTATTAAATTATTTTATTATTTTTTAATTTTTTATGATACATAACTTGTTTATATATGTAATGCTCACATACTGTTTTGTTGTATTTTACTTTCTATGAAAATAAATTTATTGAATTGTTTTTATATTAATTAGTTTTTATTGTGGATCCTTTATGAGAATGAACAATTTAATTAGTTGGTGTTTTTGTATTAAAACGAGAACAAAATCGAGTTTGAAATAAATAAAAAATGTGTTTGATTTATTTTAATTTCTGGAAGAGAGATACTTATTATGTTTTTTTATTAAAGTGTTAACCTTTTTTGGTCATTTAATAAATATGTATGTGTAATGTATATTTGTGAGGTAGACTGCACTTTTAAACCTAAATTCTAAATTTATTTTGACTTAATCTTTTAAAAAAATTTTTGTTAAACTAAATTATAATGAGTTTTAATTTTTGATCTATATTAAATTATTGAACTTTAAAATTTGGGCCTGTTTTATGTGTGGCCCTAAAGCCCATGCTTTTTCCACTCTATTGTTGGGCTAACCATGCTTATAAAAAAGTTTAAAGACAAACATATCATTTTGTATTTAAATATACAAATTACAATTATATTCATATGTATTTAACTAACAAATTAATCTCTAAAAAATCATGTAAATCTCTCTATCTTTACAAAACTTTTGAATGGTCATATTTAACATAATATATATATAAAAAAAAGTATTATTCTTTTTTTTTAAATCCCCAATATTAATGCATGTCGATAACTCAATTGATACAATTTTATCTATAATACCAAAAAATGAATATATATAGCTTTTTCTTCATTCATAATCAAAATAATTTAAGAAAAAATTAGGATTAATCTCAACTTGAACCCTAAAAGATCATTTGAATCTTAATTTTACCCTCAAAGTTTAAAAATATTAATTTATACCCTAAAAGATATAAATACATATCAATGTGCATCTGATACTAACTGTCATTTATTTTTCGCTAAAAATTTTTAGGTTAATTATAAATTGTACTCTTCAAAATTTAAATACTTCACTTTTATGATCCAAAAAGAATTTCATCAATTAATACTCCTTAAATAGTTTTTAATTGTATCGTATCATAACATTTTCGTGTCAAGTCAATTGCATTGTATCTTATATTTCACATTTATAACAATGTATATAATACTATTTAATATTTTTTTAAAATTTAAAAATAACAATTTTTTATTTATAATACTTGTTAAATACCTATTTTTTTGTTTACAGTTGTGTTATTCGTATCTAACTTTAATTCGATTGGACTATCAAAAGATTTGTGTCTAACTATAGACAAAAAATAATTATTTAACAAATATTGTAGGCAAAAAATAAGTATTTTATAATTTTTTTAAAATTTTGAAAAATATTTTTTATTTAGTTGGACACAATACGAAGATGTTAGGATATAATACAATTAAGAGCTATTTAACGAGTATTAATGAATGAAATTATTTTTGGATCATAAATATAAAATATTTAAACTTAGAGGGTATAATTTATAATTAACCCAAACTTTTTTAATAAAAAAATGGAAAGAATTAGCCCATGTGCACATTGATACGAATTTATATCTTTCCTGGTATAAATTGATATTTTTAAACTTTGAGAATATAAATTGTGATTTGAGTGATCTTTCAGAGTGTAAGTTAATATTAGCCCAAAAAACTATTAAGACATCTCTAATGCCCACAAACAAATATATATATATATATATATATATATATATATATATATATATATATATATCTTTATTCACA